CTCAAGACCAACCTCAGAATGAAAAACCGCTTACTGGAAAACTAAAAGCAATTGAAAGAAATGAAACTCTCTACGCCACGAGCAAAATGGCCGACTACTCGACCACTAACTGAAACCCAGTCTTCTCAGTAGGCCACGTGACAAGCGCCTAGCTCTCGTACACAACAGATATATAAATATCTCGGCCCATGACAAAGTGTTGCTTACAGTGCGTATAAGCCACACAAAAATGATTGGGACAAATATATATTCTTTGCTAAAACAAAGAGAAGATCAAGTTTACCTTGATCTTCTCTTGCAAAATGATGTAGACACTGAAACATTTTGAACACATTTTGTAAGTTACATATTCAAGTAATAAAACTGAATTTTGTTCTTCTGGTTTATATTTTCTTTGGTGGAATGCTTAGCTCCTTGGGTGCAATATTTAAGGAGGAATTGGCTTTAAGAATCTGAAAATTCCTGGGTGGCAAGAGCGCTAATGAGTTGAACTGATTTTTTTGTAGCTTGATTAGAAACCGTATCGTTTATGCTAATGAGGCAAATATTATAGACAACGATTCAACTAGAGTTAAAATCTTAACCACAAGGGATTATTTACATAGTTTTTTGTCAAAGTGCACTCTCGAGCACGCGGCGAAGGTTTTTGGTTCTCGATGAATTACCAGAGATCGTGTCCGTGTTCAACAATAATTGTAGCTTACACTACAGTAAACGTTTGGCAGGGAATGTCAAAGCTCATTTGATTCAAAGAATTATCAGTAAATTATAATTATTTTAATTCATTCTAACATATTGTCGTTTGTTTCTGTTTGTAGGACACTGACATGGTTACAACTTATTTACCTTACTTCACATATTCAGCGTAACAAACCTAGCCAGTGTAAATTAGTATAATTTGGCTAGATACGGTGTCTCAAGACAGCACATAATGACCACAGTAGTACAGATCATTCCAGATTTGTACCTTCTGAGTTACCAATGGTAAATTTAAATCATTAATCTTATCATCTTATAACCGGAATAAAAAAACCGTTTCGAAACGAGCTATGGCAGTGTTAACCGAAATCCGTTTTCCGTTTACTGGTTTTTAATTGAGCTTTAAAACATCTTAATAATAAGTTCTGTGAAAAAGCTTATTTTCACTCAAAACAAGGGAAGCCAGGGGGGGGAGGGAGGGGGGGGCTTATATCCAGGGGTTAACATTGTGATGCATAGTATTTTGGTTTACAGGTAGATGGGCTTCCGGCCTGGGGTGCTCATAAGTGGGGGACTCATAAGGGGCAGTATGTGGTATGCGGTTATTGCATGTCCGGCCTTGTACGCACTGCATACCTATTTTTGAACTTGTTTGTAGCTCGGCTCTGTAATAGCTCAAAATCAAAATTTAATGCGTAAATACGACTCAGGAATATACCTTTTTTTTATCGCTGCTAGATTTAAGAAAATCTCTGTGTAATACACTTCATGAATTTCTTCGGGTTCTATTATCCAATTTACGAGAGAAAAGTCTGATTTCAATGGATTCGCAACGACTGACAGAAGGTGCATTTTTAGTACCACTCCAAACTTGGCCAAAAAATTTGCCCCCGAAAAACAAATATTGGAGATCCTAATCGCAGTGAAATTGAATAAATTAATATCTGTTTTTTAATACAATGAAGCCGGTCTAGTGTCCGAGTTACTCGTTGCGAAGGTTTTCAAGATTACGAATGGTTTGTAGACGGGGCGCGCGTGAGTCGACTTAATAATTTGCCTCTGTCTTGAACATGGCGCTCAGCCTGCGGCCTCGGACCATACTCAAGACCTCGAAGACAGTTTTTCCCAATACGGACCTCCCGCCCGGTAAATAACATACATTCATTTAAGAATCCACAAAATAGCATTTAATCTTTACGTCTCGAATAACTCGTATATACACGGTTCAGTTGATAATATTCCATCTTTAACAAAAGGTACCGTCCATACTAAGCCGGAGGAATTTGAAAACGGAGGTTTCAATCTGAACATAATCACCGGTAATTTGGAATTTGTGTTTGAGGAAAACTCGGTCAGGAAAATCACATAATTATCGTGACGTCATCGTTGTTTTCCGTCCACACGAAAACGCAAAGCCAGCGTTTTCAAATTCCTCCGTTTTTAAGAGCGTTTAGGTTCTGTTTTTGTGACGGATTAGTGTGGACGGTAGGCCTAACCATAGAAATAAAGCTGCGTTTTCAAATTTTTCCGGCGTGATGTGGACACTGCCTAAAACTAATTTTTAGGCAGTGTAATTTCTTTTTTTTTGATAGTAATTTTTTTAATCTTCTTCCATTCATGGAAATATGTTTCACCTGTTTGTTCAATTTCATGCAAATTGAACAGATAAGGCACTGAAATTCCAGACCTTCACCGGCCTCGTTTTTTCAGTGAAAGTCAACCATTATATCCAATGTACAAATATCACATTCAGTTGGATCAATTCGATTTTTTTCATTTTTTTGCGGGACGGTAAATGTGATATACCCTACTATACAGATCGCTGTGTTGCTTTGGGAACATCTTGATTTGAATCAGTGATCCAGGATCACTTAGCTCATGGTACATCAAAGGAAACGATGAATCCAATCTTGTCACGGATTCATCGGCTCCTTTCAAGCACCATGAATCCGAGTGATCTTGCATCACTGATCCTGATCCAAATCATCCCAAAGAAACGCACTCAGAGATTCCATTCTCTTTCTGCTCCCTCTCGTCTCTCACCGAGCAGAAAGACAGGAAAATCTTGGTCGTGCATCGTAGCCATTGAAGATAACCAGAGCATAGGCTTTTTTATTATTATCATTCTTTTAAAATTACAATTACAATACATGGCATAAAGTACATAAAATTTGACAACATTGTATTACAATACAAAAGATTGCATTACGTACCTTACATTACTTCTTTTTTTTTTGCTATGGCTACTATATGCAAGTAGAACGTCACGCACCGTGCTTTTAGACTATTTACAATACATTGAATACTTTTAAGCATTATGTTAAATTAACTCAATGTTGGGATGCATTAGCTTTGGCTTTTGATTCAGAATTTTAAGCATAATTACTCTAAACTCCATACATCTGTATTCATCTATTTTTCTCAACAAATGCATCTTACGTAGTTGTTCTTTTGGGCTTGGTCCATCACAGCTGAAATTCACTTGCTTAAGTGTTTGATTTGTCGAAGCTCCACTGTCGGATCAGGAGTTTTTGATAAGTTCTATTCGTCTAAATGCATAGCTTCTCAGAGAAAACAAAAAATCAAAGTGACAAGGGATTTATCCAAGCAACAGGACAGGTGCCAGGAATTAAAATGTGATTATCCCTTATAAAGTGCTAACGACGCTAGTGAAATCTCTTTCTATACTCCGAGAGAGACATTTGCATTCAAATAAAGAGAAAAAACCTTTATATCTGGACGGTGATCTTAGTCGTTCTAAGTTGCCGCCGATCATTGGTTTGGAAAAAACCCGCACAGCCACGAATTTAAGCTGAGCAATGAAAGTCATCAGAAAATAATAGTTCAGTTTTCGACATCACTGGTAAGTAGTGTGTTAGCTATATTTTCTAGTGTGACATTCAACTTGCGAACGAAAGTTCAGCTTTCAAGAATTGTGTACCAGAAAAATTTTTTTTCGTGGATCATGGAGCTTGTGTAAACTATAAACAATGTATACCGACATATTAAAATACTAAAATATTTTACCAAGGCTAGAAAAGACCTCTTGTTCGACCACTTGAATAGTATTTGCTGAACTAGGAGGAAGGGCTCTAGCTAAGCGAATAATTTCTTGGTCACATAAAGAGGATCTGAGCAAAGCACAAACAAAAAACTCCTTGAAATATCGAAGAAGCTGGAGTAATTCTCTTTGAAGTTTATCTAAATGTAAATAAACTGATTTTCGAACAAGGTTAATCATACAAGGCGTGCCGTTAGGTGAAATTTACTCGAGGTCAGTGCTTCAAGAAAAAAAAGGTTCCTGTGATTTTGGAACTGAAACTGTATTAATTATCATCAAATGATAGAAAATGGGGATCAACTTGGGAGAAAGATTTTAAAATATATATATAAAAAATACGACACTAGCTTTGAAACGATCATCTTTCCATTTTCCCGTGTAATTTTCCAATTCCAAATTTGCCATCGTTCGCCATAGCTTACGGGTTCTTCGTGCTCTCCGAACACAGTTAATGTGGAAAAAACAAAAAAAATCTAAACAGTATTAAATTTGGATTTCCCATGATCAAGACATGATTCCAAACTTTGTTTATAAGGAAATTACTAGAGATTAAAAAGCAAGCTAAAAAGCAAGTCGGTTAATAGGCTGTGCTGACGCACGAAATCTTAGAGAAGTTAGTCAGGTTTTAAATTAGTTAGCGGCTGCAGCACTGCTTCTTTGTTAGTCAATTAAGGACATATATCACTGGCCTCAAGCCAAAAATTTAACAAAACTCTCCCTGGGATATATTTTAAAGGATGGAATGATAGTCTCAGTTAAAGGCTGTCATGTTTAAAATTACTAACAATCATTTTAATGATCCCTCTTGACGTAAAATAGTCTTTTTTTCCCTAAGCAAAGAAGCATGTCATATAATGGACTGCTTTGACACGCGAAATCTTAGAGAAGTTTGCCATTATTATTTGAGAATTAAAACTATTTAGCGGCTTCGTAAGATTGGCACATCTATATTACTTTCTTTTTGGTTGATTACTGATGAATCTACAAATTATTTAGCCAATAATTTAAATAACACTTCTTTCATGACTCACTATTCGAATGGAAGGGAATAGATCAATTTCCACGTCAGCCGTGAAAGTTTCAGTTCAAGGCCCCGTCCACACTACGCCGAAGAAATTTACAAATGCAGATTTATTTCTAGGGTTAGGCGTACCGGCCACACTACGAATCCGTCATAAAACCGGAGTTTTTCGGAAACGCTCGTTAAACCGGAGGAATTTCAACTCGTTTTAGTGCGGACGGAATACATTTTGAAAACGGAGCTTTCTAAAACCGACGACGATGCGATAATCATGTGTATTTTTCCTCAAACACAAATCCACAATGTGCGGTAATTGGTACTTTGTCAAATTTATCCGGCGTAGTGTGGAAGGAAACATTTTATGCGTTGTCAGAGTGAAACCTTCGTTTCCAAATTTTTCCGGCGTAGCGTAGACGGGGGGTAAAACTTGAATAGGACTTTTGCAATAATTGGTCACGTGACGTAGTTTTCAAGAACATACTGATTTAGTCGTTTTCAAATATAGGCAGAGCTGGCAAGTCTTATATTTAAGCAGATGATTTAACAATCCCGCCTTTTTGTTTAAACTAATATAAATCTCGTGATAGAGACCAGTATTTCGTCGTTTCATCTCTCGTAGATTTATTAAAGAAAGGATAACCATAGACGCCCAGGAAAATCTGAAAATGTGAATTACACTCCTAAATAATGTAAACCTCCGAAGAATAAGTAACACCGTGTGCAATCATACGAATAAAGCTGTCGACGAGAGGTTCATCCTGTCTGCAGCAAATATGAACATCTCTAACTCGTCTACAGCTGTACCGAATCAACCTCCACCTGGGATAACTACTTTTACACGTACAACATACTCTATCTTGGCCACAGTAGCTATGATAGGAAACACCTTGGTCATTCTTGTTTTCGTCTGGGACAAGAAGCTATTAAAGAAATCCTACAACATGTTAATCCTGTCCCTGGCTATATCTGATGTTCTGACAGCAATCATGCTCATCACAAACCCAGCTTTTGTTCTTGGTGACACGTTTCCTTATCCAACCAATCACGTGCTGGGAGACATCTTCTGCCGGGTTATATGGAGTCGTGCGTTTCTCTTCCAGCTGGTGGTTTTCTCAGCGTACATTTGTATGGCTTTGGCGACGGAGCGGTGGTACGCAATTATCAAGCCTTACAAGTACAACGAGACCTTCAACCAGAAGCGAACCCTTGTTTACATCTCGGTTGTGTGGCTGTGGTCGACGATCCTGTGTGGCACCTCTCTGTTCGAAGTTGCATACGTTTCTTCGAATCCGCTGAATCTACGATGCAAATGGCAGCTTTACTGGGGTAAGCAGCCGGTCCGTGGTATTGTGGGTATCATTCAAGTCCTGTTGAAAATGGTGCTTCCAAGCTTGATTATGCTGTCTCTGTTCATTCACATGGTTTACAAGGCAAGCAAGTCCACAATCGCCTCAGCTGAGAGCAAGGCTAAAATTCGTGGCAAAATGACGCGCATGGTAGGGGCAGCGTGCATCATGCTGATCGTTTGCTTCGCGCCAAGTCAGACCAACTACGCGATGGCAATGGCGGGAAAAACACGGCTGGATACCAAATTGCACCATGTCCTCTCCCTATTGGTTTTTGTCAATAGCTGTTTGAATCCATTCATTTATGGGCTGAGCAACAAGAATTACCGTCAGGGCTACCTGAAAATCCTGTTTTTGGTTTGCCCCAAGAGAAGATGGAGGCAGAACAGGGTAAAAGATGGAAGCGTCCTTAATGCGTTGGAAAACGTCCAGGACACCGCAAGTCGCGAGAGGAACACAGAGGAGATTCAGGAGAGAGAAAGTAACGATAATCACGTGTGAATTGTCAGTTGAAATTTTTATCTTAACAGTAGGAAAAAGATGGGGTTTACGTGGCACTACTTTACTTTTTATCGCATTACAGACAAATTTCGGACAAAAGATAACGTAAGGCAGCGTTCACACCACGCCGGAGAAATTTGAAAACGCAGCTACATTAATTTTCTACGGTTACGCCCACCGTCCATACCAATCCGTCACGAAAACGTAGCTTTTCGAAAATGCTCTTCAAACCGGAGGAACTGGAAAAGGTTAGCTTTTCGTTTACGCGTTTACGGAAAACGTTTTGAAAACGGAGCTTTTCGTAAACGATGCCGCCAAGATAATCATGTGATTTCCCTGACCGAAAAACAGAAATCCAAAATGACCGCAGTGATTGTTGCGTTTTTAAACTCCTCCGGCGTAGTATGCACGGATTGATCCATTTTCAGAGTGAAATCTCCGTTTCCAAATTCCTCCGGAGAAGCGTAGACGGGACTGTATGTGGGTTTGATGTGAGTTTGATGTGAGTTTGATGTGAGTTTACCTGCGGACAGTACTTTCCAAAATTGCCAAAGTTACCGAGGCCATAAAAATAAAAATGCATGCGTTTGCGGAGGAACATGCTATAATAAACGTTATCGAGGCAACGTGTTTTTTAAGTTGATCGCTGACTGAGTGCTGAGTTTCAATTGGATCGCGAGCTCAAGCGATTGTAGTCAGGTTCAGGTAGTTCAGTAGCCGGTTAACGCTTACCTGGGATAAAAAGTTGAGCCGAGTATAAATTTTTCTTGGATAAGCATGTTTTTCACTGCTTATGTTTTGTCTCTGTTTTAGGTTATTCAAACTCAAATGAGCAGCCCAAACAATATCAACAGAAAACCTCAACGCAACTCAAATCAAAATTTTCGCTTATCCTGGGTTAGCTCAATCGGGCTTTGAACAACCCGGCCTAGGAGCTCCGCTTTTAGGCTTGGCTAAATCTGTATAGTATGAGCGTTGTCAACGTTATTAACGTGCGTTTATAATTATGGGTAAGTGAATCCGTGTCCATCTCTTTTCTTTTGGAGGACTGTGCTCGAAATCATGTGATTACCTCTACAAATACGACAAATCTTAACCGTATTTTTATTGCTCGCGAGATATTTCCAGCTCACCTGAATTAGACAATCTGATAGATTGTAACCTTATGAATATGTGAAGAGTGAAAGAAACTTAAGAGGGAATCCACTAAAGTTCGAGTAACAAGTGGACAAAATTTTTGTACCAAGATTATTTACATTGTTTTGCAAGCGTCTGTGCGACTGTTTTAAAAATCTTCTCAAAAGAAATCATTTCTAACAACACCAGATGTCGAAAGCAAATTTTGAAGTTCATAATTATGAAACACTTAAAAGTACTGCTGAAATGAAACTGATGACAAAATTTTGTCTGTATTTGCACAATTTCTCTGAACTTTAAAATTTATTTTTTCGAGTTCTCATGGGAAATTGTTTTTGTTGTTATTTCAGGCAATTGTTTATAACTTTGGCTTTTAGAAAACGAAAAAAGGCTTGTAATATACTTAAAATTATTCTGGTACACTTTTTTGCTCACTTAATACTGAAATTGCTTGATTTCCTACCGCATTTTGTCTTAAATCCATTGTACTTGATGCTCATTACAATATTTATGTGATGACTCTCGGAGATAATAATAATCACTTCGCCGGCAAAGTATAATAAGCTATTAAAACAAAAGCGTGAACTTTGTTTGAGTTTGTTCATGTTCTTAGCATTTTAGTTTTATTAATGTCAAACACCGATAGAATTTGACGCTGCAAAAGTGCCTACTCTAAGTAGTCAGATTGTTTAGCATTGCTACAGTGATGTAGCTAAAGGTAAAGGTAAAGGTAGGTAAAGTCTGCATACGAGCTAAGTGACCAATCAAGTTGGTTCTTATCCCGGTTTCTGTAGCACGAAGCGACTAGGAGTATTTCTACTCCCCCCTAGATGGGATGCTGGTCCATCGCAGGGTTCCCCCAAGCATTAAATTCGCCGATACTCATTTATACACTTGGATGGAGAGAGGCACTGTGAGAGTAAAGTGTCTGGCCAAGAACGCAACACGATCAATCCAGAGACGAGCGCACTAACCATAAGGCCACCGCGCCTGCACAATGATGTAACAAAGATTAAAGCCCTTCTGAAATAATAACTTTATAGATAAATCTTACTAGTGAACAATAAATTATCAAGTATATATTAAAATATACAGCATCTTGCGTTTTAGTGAGACGATAATCAAGAACAACTGTTTGCATCAGTTTCCAGAAATTAATTGTTTGTAATTTTTATTTGAAAATAGCAGGTACTCGCTACGAAAATAAAAACCCTAAATTGAAATTGTAGAACATACCCTCTTACAATACTTGGATTACGTGTATAAAGTATATTATTGAGTTGTATGTGATATACTTAGAATAACTGTTAAATTCATGCTATCCTTGTAACGTTTCAATTTAACCTGAATAGTCTCCTGTCGTTTTCTGTCTTTGAGGCAAATAAGCAACCTGCAAACATGTCGTGTTTTCTTTCTTTGCAGTGGTCAGCCTCTGATTCTTCTTACCTAAAGGCGAGAAGTGACTGGTGACAATTTAGAGTTTGAGTCAGATTAGTACAATAACTGTTATAGTGCGATATATTTCCGGCCCATTTCCCCCGGGGATTAGTATAGTACGGTTAATATTAATAATAATGATAATAATAATAATAATAATAATAATAATAATAATAATAATAATAATAAGATTTATATAGCGCTAAAATTATAAAATATTATAAAGCGCTTTACAATGTATGATTAAGATTACAGCAAAAATATAAGAAAAAAATGTGTTTACTGGACTTAGAATTTACCCTATGGGTTTCTCTATAGTATTTTATATATTTTATTTTACCTATAGCATTTGATATATTTATTCACACTATAACTTATGATTTCAATGTTTTTTAACCAGTAATGAGAAGATATATGAGAAGTCTTTTATCCAATTTAAAATCCGAGTAATCCAGGAAGCGCTTCCAACTTTCCCTAGTCAGTGGGGACGAGGAATAATTCCATTGAAACAAGTGGCTTAACCTCCTCTGAAAAAAACACATTAGTACAGTCTCCGCTTAAACTTGTTTCAATGCCAGTCCGTCCGTGTTTTTAGGAACTTTACACTCATTCATTAAAAGTAAAATATTTTCGTATGAAACGAATTCTATTTTAAATCAAGCCAAAGGACGATTTGCTGACCAAAAGCTTGTCAAGTGGTCTTACAATCCACTAACCATACGCAACAACGCACTGTCCTCTGATGTGTCATGGGGCCGCTCGTCACCTTTCCTGATTGATTCAAGTAATAAGCGCGGTGACCTTGGTGGCGGAGGACACGACGTGTGTAGCGTGGATGTAGAGGTTCGAGACTTGTTTGTTTTGGCGAAAGAACTAGTCCCAGATCGCTTAGCTTCGTTGTAACCCCTGTCGGAACATAAGATCTTTATGTAAGCCTTCCTGAACTCCGGGAATTTTTGCCCGTACAGAATAGGGTTGAAAAGCGAGTTGCTGTATTGCAACAACTTGACAGCAAAAATGGCGTGTGCGGGTAGCACTGAAAAGTCATCATGCACATATCGCACTAACCCTAAGGAGAAGAACGGCAGCCAGCCAATCAGAAACAAGCCTATCATGATGGCGATTGTTTTAGCCGCTCTGACGTCCCGCTTCAGGGTGGAGTTATGGCTGAATTTTGCTGTGTTTCGTTTTATGGTAATGAGAGTTATTCCTTGTGCCACGAAGATCAGAACAAGTGGCAAGAAAAAGCATAGGCATATGACGGACATGTTGTACGCTTGCGGCGAAACCCTGTTTCCAGTGACAGAGAGTCCCGACACGAGCGATGCGAGTGACCATGTCATAAAGATCATAACCAGATACTTTGTTTTGGTGTATGAGCGATGCCTCAGCGGCCAAACAATCGCGCACAGTCGGTCCCAGCTCAGGGCCATCAGATGGAAGATCGAACCCACTCCACCAAGTATCTCAAAGACGTACCATATTTCCATGACAGTACTATACCAAGTAGAACTCTGATCGTCTTCTCTGTAAATGAGCACGAGCCAACCGGGCACAGAAACGAGGCCAACAAGGAAGTCTGCCACAGCAAGGCTTGCTATAAGGCAGTTGGTGCGCGTGCGCAAATTGGCATTCTTGGTAAAGGAGATGATGACAAGTGTATTTGACAAAATAATGAAGACAGCGATAAGACTGTGAAGGACACTCCAAACAACCAATGGTCCCACAGCAATTGATTGGTAATACCGCCCAAAAGCGGAAGGGTCTGTTGAATTGTTTGGAGATCCTAGATGGAAAGACATAATTTTGAAAAATGAATACAATTGTCTTTAACATGATAAAACAAAATTCGAGTATTAGCCCTGGGATTGGTCTTGTTCAGGGGACGCTTAAACCTGGGGAAAGGAGAGGGGAGGGGAAGGGGCTGGAGCTTTTTACCATAGCAATGGAAAGAGGTTCTGACATGAACTTTTTATTGCTTCGTAGGATATAAATTATACAAATTATGGAATATTCAACATAAGGTTTAAGGGCTCCAAAGTATGGAACTCAGTAAGTAAAAATTTGAAAACCTTCTGTATTTCAAACTTCAAGGAATCAGTAAAAAGCGATCTTGTCAATGATTATTATTTACTTGTGTTCTTATTAGCAGTTGTGTTGTTTTCCAATTTACCTCTAAATTAGTCTTTTGTTGATTTCTGTCATAGCTCATACATAGCTGTTATTAGTTGCCATGTGCTCTTCTTATATTAATGTTTTGTATTCGTATATAGATTTCACTATTTTTGACTTCCTTCATAGCGTAGAAGTAGCGTTTTTCCTCTTCTTTTTCTTCTTATGTGTGCATTTGTGCTTCAGTTTTCTTGCTGACCTGTATTTTATTTCTATTTAATGCTGATGTTAACTGGCTGCCTGGCTCCGCTAGCCCCTATGGCTATTCCAGGCAGCTAATACTCTACTTTTTACTTTTAATATTTTCATTGTTGTAATTATTTATTTTGAGCAAGAGTGAGTACAAATAAAGATTAAGTGATATATTTTTCGAAGAAGTTTGGAAAGTTACAAAATGGAAATATTTTGGATACCAAGCCTTCTCTCAGATTTTATGTTGTAAA